TGCTTTTTTTACCCAACCCTAATAAAAACTCCCATCTTTACTATCATGGGGTGACTCAACGCCAACATCATTTCTACAACACATCGACTCAAACACAGAGGCGTAGCCAGAAAAGAATTAAGGTTAACAAATTAAACTTTAGCATTTAACATTTAAATAATGACACGGGTCCTTGCTTATTTGAAGAAATGCCCAATTATTGTTAAACAAACAATTTTTTTAGTCTTTTTCATTAAACTTTATTTGTTGTAATATCTGAACCTTACAGTATATCAATCCCCTTTATTCCTAATTTAAACAGCTGTGGATTAACTTTTAACACATTTAACTCCTGCATTTGTTTTGAAAACTGGTTAGGGGAAAGAATAAGACACGGAAACTAGAAACTGTCCTTATTTTAAAGTTTACAAATGGACATAATACAATAGGAAGAGAAGATCCACAACTACAGACAACAGATAAGACAAACAAAACACATACAAATGGGCGGAGTTTATAGTTAAGGGAAGAGAGCTGATAGTTAAAGAAAGATAGATAGTTTATAGTTACAGAAAGATAGTTTATAGTTAAAGAAATATAGTTGTTAGTTAAAGGAAGATATTTAGTAAATGGGAGAGATTTTGATAGTAAATTTTAAAGCGAGTTTAACAGTACAGTCGGAGTGTTAGAATGTGTCAGAGAAGGGAGAAGAGAGAGAAATAGCATGTGTTAATTGTATTAATGTAGCATTTTTTGGTTGGGTTTAAATCCCCTATATAAGCAACATTTCAGTAACAGAAGCAACGACAAAGCTGCTTTCAATAGAATAATTGTAGTGATAACACGCTGTAAACGATGGGGAATTCTCCTAACGACATTCCAAAGTCTTTCAAAGACTGAAAGCAAAAATTCTCTGATTTTTGATTTAGCTGTGGTGAAGAAATCTATGATTCTGCTGCTAGTTTGCATAAAAACAGCCACAACTTTTCTTCTGACTTCGTCTAAAATTGATAATATGTTCCTCACAGGTGATTCTGGTTCAGCTCTACGTGGGTCTGAATATGTCCACCGGTTTCTCTGTACAATGCCTTCCATTGCAGCCGGTTTAGACGGAAAAAAATAATCTTCGTCTGAAGAACTATCTTCTTCAATATTTTCCTGTGTAGGTGAAGGAGAGCAGTCCATTCCTCTCATAATGCAGCAGCAATTGGGCTGATTTAGAGCTTCCTTGGAGGTTGTGGGTCTGGTCTCAATGTTTCTGGCTATACCTTTTATGTGAGCTTTAGGCAGGTCAGAATCTCTCCAGCATTTCCTGGCAGGTTCTGTTTGACTCCCAGTTGATGGATGGTGTTTCTCAAGGGATGGTTTTAGATAATCTGCCTCCTTATTCTCATTGGTGGTTCCCTTGTGAGCAGTGGAGGCGACTTCAGAGTTTTTGTAAGGATTGTTTTCTAACAATCTCTTGGCGTACTTCACGGATGCAGATGCGATCATGATTATTATCTTTTGCTTAAACACAGAGAATTATTGGTCAAATAAAACAGACAACCTTTCTTGGGCAGGTATGGCAGGCTGTATTGAAATTTAATTGGCTTGACTTAATATGTAATCCAGATGTCTCAAACGCATATCTTCCTAGTCAAACTGAATATTTCAGATATCTGAAATAAAATTATTTTATCTAAAATAAAAAATTCAGATATCTGAAATAAAATTATTTTATCCTAAACAAAAAATTCAGATATTTGAAATGTAATTCCTACTGCTAGTCATAATTACTATTTCAATTATCAAAAATTCATATAACATTACAGATATCCAGAAATCCAATTCTTGACATCTAAGATATATTTTTACTACTACAAATGTCTTTACAGATATCTACAACTACATTTGTAGTAGTAACATTTTAGTTGTTCCTATCTAAATTAGAAATGACTGCTTTTATGTAACTGATTATTGATGCAACGTATGAGTCAGACATTTTTGATCACTGCACCCAGGATTCATTATTCCCGCTTCATGACACCATCGGACACCATACTAAAGTAAAATGGAGGCAAACATGATAAGAATTTCTGCTTTTGAAACACTTTCTGTTGAAGTTTCTCCTGCAAGACGCTTTCTGTCACCACAAATCCCCTGGCTGAGGACAAACCCATTTCATTTTCTTTCCATTTTGTCAATTAAACTATCACTGGCGCCATTGCTGCTTTCAAATCTACAGAGAGGAAGCTAGACTCATAAAACTGAATGTCTTAAATTTAGGTCCGTAAACCTTAAACTGTCAGATGTGCTATTTTCAGTGTTATTTTGGATATCTGAAATGTTCATTTTAACTAGGAAGAAATGCATTTGAGACATCTGAAATATATATTCAGTCAATACCATCAAGTAAAATAATACGACTGGCATAAAATCAAATTCAAACAGCATAAAAATAAAACTCACAACAAGCCAGAGACAATAACACACGAAGTGTGCTCCTGATGTCCAGTCTGCTCCGTAGCTTTGCTTTGGTCGCTGTAACCGCAGAAAATCCCGCTTCACAAAGATAGGATGTTATAGATAGGATGAGTCTTGAACTGAATTACCCTGTGTCAAGAGGCACAGTTGCACCGACTGATGTAATTGGGAGAGAATACCGCAATTTTTTATATTTTTAAAAATAAAACATCACTCAGACTCTGATCGTCGTATCGGTCCCCGATCGGTGGTTGGGGATCGCTGGTTTAGACATTAGTAATGTTACTTGAGGTTTAGAAATATTGAAATATTGAGGTCCTGTTATATAATTTTTTCTAGATATTAGGTTTGTGTGAAAACAGAATTACTATCTAGCAGATAGTTGAGGAGAACAGAATATAGAGCAACATCTGCATGAGAAAAAAATAAATTTAGAGGACTTTAATATCATTGCTTTATATGTTAAAGGCACACTATGCAACATTTTTCAGTTAATTAATGTGTTCCATAACGTTATGGATGATTAAATGAGTCATTTCAGGTTGAACAAAGGTATTCTCGGCCGCCGTGGTGGTCTGTGGGGGAAATACCGCACTTGCAATTGCAGGAGCACCGACCCGCACCCACAGGCTCAGAAGTCTCGCGAGAGTCGGTCTTGCTTTACGGCGAGAACTGCTACACCCCCCAGTTAAAGCATGCTCGTGCTGCTTTCACACCGGACGCAGCAAAAGCAGCAAAATCGCATCTGCTGCTTAATTTTTACTGCTTGTACCAGTTAGTTCTGACGCGCGGCTGAAGCAGCTTTGCTGCTCTGGCTGCGCGGTGCAAAAGTGTGTCTGAGGCGCAATGGGCGGAGCTTCACTATCCTTTCTCTGCCTTGCAGCTATATTTGCTGTGATCAGTGGGAATAAAGTAGTTTTAATATGTTTTTAAGTGAGAAAATACACCTGAAAACGTAATCAGTGCAGTCAGTTCATTCAGATTATCATCCTGCCTTACAATATTTTTTCTGTCGGAGCAACTCAGACCCCCACATACCAGCGGTGCGCCGACAGTAGGAATCCCTTCATCAGCAGCCTCTGGCCGGGTCGCCTCCTCGCGGTTCACCGCGGCAGCTGGTAGGTGTTTTTCATCTAAATAATCCAAACTGCAGGCAGCAGGATAATAAAAGCGAACATATTCTGCCGGCAGATTTCTGCATTTTAAGTTAATTTAGGCGTCAATAAACTGTTTAAGAGGAGTGATCATAGCGCTCTGATTATCAGCGTTGTGCCTCTCTCTCCCTGCCAGCTCCCAGATCAGCTTCTCTGATTGGTTGACGCGGCACTTCGAGCAGCAAAAATTTAATTTTTCCATCTCGAGCAGTAGCGCGTTTGCGGCACGTCACGCACGTCAGATGCTTAGTCATTCGTTGCGTTCGCCTGTCTGCTAAGCTCAAAACAACCGCGCCTGGCTTGACGGAGAAACCAGGAGAACAGCTGTGCATATTTACGACAGTGCACTTTTACTTTCGCCCTCTGGGGGGAGCCTCACTGGAAAATCAACACCGGTTGCATAGTGTATCTTTAAGTTACTGTTTTATAAAGCGTATTTACCTGAGAATTCCCGTGAAACTTGTAGTTGCACAGATGTTTTTATTCATAAATCAAAATAGTCTACATTTAAATATGACTTTGCTGTCAAGCAAGAAGGAACTCTTGCTTGTTGAATTACAGCCAAGGCCTGAAATTATAATTAAATTGAATAAAGGAAATTTCCAAAAGTACTTTAAAATCCATATAATCTCTTTATTATCTTTAACAAATTGCGTCTGTGAAATAGCGTTCATGTTTGACTTACCTGGAACAAACTCCCACAAGGCTGCAAAAGGTCTGAAACCCTAAGTTGCTTTAAATCTGTTTTAAAATCCTTTTTTTTTAAACAGATGTCTTTAGCTCTCCACAACCACTAATGAGCATTTTTCCTTTGGATAAACTTTACATGCACAAGTGTGCTCTAACAACCAACTACAGGTGCTTGGTTCCAGGTATTTAGAGATTCACTTCCATACAAAAAGCCCATATTCTTATCTTCAGCTACCACAGCATACATGTCAGATTAAATACTACTTAGACTTCAGCGATAGTATCAAGGTGTTACTTTATTGTGTCTCTTATACTATATCCATTGGTTGTGCTGTTCTTTTTACATCTCTCTTTGCAGGTGACGAAGCACACTTAAGACGCTTTATCATTGTCTGCCTTTTATTTCCTTTCTTTCATCTTTTGTCCTTTTTCCTGTTTTTCCTTTCCTGTTCCACTTTCCAATTTCAGTGTCCATATAATCTGTAAATTCCCTGCATGAATTATAATAAAGCTATTTATATGCATTAATTAAGCGGAACACTACGGCAATAGCCATACTGCTCCACTTGTGAAAGCAATTAATCTGGGTTATAATAGTACAGTAATAAATTTCATAAAACTACTGGCCATTTGGTTTTTCCCCCATTATACCAGCCCAGAAAACCTCTCCCATGCAGAGAAGTAACCTAAATTCAAGCATCTGACAATAAATCACAGATATAAGCAGCTCTGCTTGGTTTATTAGCTTTAAAAGGTTTTAACTGGTACAATGACATTAGTTTAACAAACCACAGAAAGTTATCCAAAGATAGAAATTCAGGTGAGGTAAGAATTTTATCTGGAAAACCTACAATAAATAACTGTTCACTTAAATACTTTTTACATCTTTTTTCAAAACAAAACAAACAAGAAATTGCAGCATTTTCCAAGTAAATGAACACATGAATCTTATGACAATATCCTTGGTTAAGAGTTTCAGCAACATCTGTTACCACACCACTTATGAGGCCGTCACTATGCTGATAATTCAACCTCAAAAACCAAACATTCAGCAGTGCCATCTAAACGATTGAAGAAGAAGTGTTAGGAACATGAAAACTTAAAGTGACTATCTCAGCCTTTAGCTGAGTTCAATATTAAAATGGAATTAGGAACTTGACATCATTGTCGTCCCCTGCAGTCTCTTCATTCACCACCTGCACGGCACTCAGAAAACTCAGTAAAAAATAACATCTGTACAAACATACGAAGGAGCTACACATATTACAGCCAACCTGCTGCACCTGTAGCTCTATACAAGAACAAGTTTCCACAGAAACAGTTGAATTAATTACAGTGCTCACTGCATTTCAGCTTATTGCTTAATGTGTTCTTTGATTTTCAGCTCAGCTCTTGAATACTTTGAGTGGCTATCACAGCTGAATACTTTTACACCATTTCTTTGTTTTTCCTCCAGTCACTTATTCTTCTAACTTAAGGTTTAGTAGCAGGAGCAGTGCTTGGTTGCCTGTTTCTTTTTATCTTTTTCACGCTTGCTTTCTTGGCATGCTGGAGCAGAGAGAAGAGGCAGACTGAAGAGCAAGATGATGATCAAATTCAGCACCACACAGAGCAGCGCTGGACCCACTGAGTTAGCAAACGAGATGGGGATGGAGTTAACGGTGAGCCAGGAGCGTCTCATCACCAGGTCCTGCTCCACGGCCAGCATTTGGAAGTGGGTGCCTATGATGGCGCACACATGGAAGAGCTGGTGGCTGTGACCTGTAGAGGGAGCAGCCGAGTCACATTTGAGAAATTACTTGTGACCTTCACTGCACAATAAATGATTCACCGCTGTTATGATTGGAGGTAGCTGGAAAGAAATCCAGCAGTTGTGCATTAACATTTCCTCACAATGTTTAACCCAGAAGAGAGAAAACATGAGATTGTTTTACAGTGAGCATGTTCTTAATCTCCTTAATCTCATATAAAACAGGTGGTTGTAAAATCAAAGCAGCAATGACTCAATTCCCTACTGAGTGCTTCAGTATTATGAATGATTAATATTTGATTTATATATCTACTCTGAGAATTGCATCAACTCTTTTATATGCCGTTGTGAGAAATGTGTGCATACCAGGCACCTTTATCCTCCTTGCTGAGTATTGTCATCATTAAGTATTTAAAGCTATAGTGGAGGATGTTCTTTTTCCAGGTGGATCACCAAAATAAGTGGTCCTGCTAATTGTCAATCAGTCTGCTGATATCAGGCTCAGACTGGGAAAGATTTTTGCCCCCCCCCAGTCAATCGTGTGCGTCACATTGTGGATTAACCGATCTATCTTCAAGCATCACACAACAACCATCACCAAGACTTCTATAATGCGGTTTTACTAGTTATTAACATGGACGCCACAGTGACTGTTGCTGCGTAACGTCCACACTCACCACATCATCAGGGGTGCCAGATGTCACTGACTAACGTTTTCCAGGCCAAAAGATGTTCATAAACCACCTGGGTATACGAAATCTCGCCCCATTTGAACCAAAGTCTATTGATCTCTTAGGCCATAAATCTAAAGAGAAAAATATTTTCTATCCATAGACGGCCATCCTAAACTGCCAGATTGGGAAACATCCCGACGTGGCCACAATGCAAATAAGACGGGAAACGTTAGCCTTTAGATGCAAGCCCATCATGCACAGCAACGTATCTTTGCTAAATATTCTAACATAAATTCACCTAGTATAAGAATAACATGGTCATTTGGTTTAAAGAAAGCATTAGTTTCGTTTATTATAATTTAGTTTGTTGCAAGGATTTTACATTTTGAAGAAATAGAAAATTACACCATATGCCAACCATCACAAAGATGTGCATGACAAGGAAGGCCTATATATACTGCATGCATCATTTAGGTAGTTAACATTGTATTACTTCTTGAGATCCTTGAGTTATTTACTGTCACGGGAAGGTGCTTCGGCAGAGGAATAAGTTTTGGGGCCGGTATGAATTAATTTTGCACACTGAAATTAGGACCAGTATCACAGATAACCAGTCCAAGCCTGGCTGATATGTTTACATCAGGCCATCCTACATGCTTGTCCCCATTTTCACTTACCGGTGTTCTGTTAGATGAGCATACCTGGTCAGACCAGCATACCCATAGTCAATACCTGTTTATCCCTTTAGTTTTGTACGAAAAATATGAGAAATGGGCCCGTGCACGCTCTCGCACAGGTTTAATAGGCATCCCCGGGAATAGGTAAGGGGTTGTGCTTGTGAATTTTTTTCTTAAGTGTAGAGGGCGGGTCTTTTCAAAATTGGTGAAAATCCTCCATTATACCTTTAATTACTTATTTGTAAGCTCTATTTACGTCTAAAGGCTTAGATTGTATTTACCCAATTTCCATAATTTTGTTAAAAACTTATTTTCTTTGCCCAACCATTTTTTCATTCAAACTGTCGCTTTTTTTTTTTTTTGTATATTTTAATATTTTTTAATATACTCTGTGTTATAAACATGAATAATATGAAAAAACACAATTTAATTTAAACCCTGCCTTAAAAAAACATTTTACAATAAAAAAACGTATATCTTGTTGCACAGGTGTCTGTTCAAAACATAATATGTAGTTGTTCTCTAAACAATGGCGTTTTGCTTAGCTTGCACTTTTAAGTATTCTTCTCAAATGTCCTCAATCTAAGACTTTCTTTCTCTGCTTGTTTAGTGAACTATTCTGTATATTGAGTTTTAAAGTAGAGGTCAGGAGTGAATCCAAATGCACTATACAAAAAAAAAAATCATCTGTCTAATCTGTTAGAGATTTCTGCAGCAACTTGATATAAATGTGACACCAATGACTGCACTGCAGAGGAATCTTACCAATGTAGTCGAAGCTGCCAGGTGCCAAACGCTCAGGGAAGCGCATGGCAAACAAAAAGCCAGTGATGAAAGCCAAGGCAATGTGTTTATAGTGGAGCATGTTGGTGTCGTTGTCAGTGCAGCCCTCCCCAGTGCATAGAAACACCTGGGAACATGACACATATGATATCAGCAAACAAACTAAAGCAAGTTGAGCATGTTTATATGTCTTCATGAGGCTTAAGCTGACGTTTTTCTAAGATGCTAGTTTTTAAATACAAACATAAATAAACTAATGCTGAATCAGTATTGAAAGAGTAGTGAAGGTTTCGTACTATTGAGCAAGAGAACACATTTAAATGTTATACTTCTCTGAATTAAAGCTATCTACTTGCAATCAGAAATCTCTTGTTCTATCAATACAGAAAGTCTGAATTGAATAATTGGCAAAGGGGCTAAGCTAAATACAAATGTGGAGGATAGCTGCTGTACCCTGTAGAAGAGAGGAATGTTGTCAAACAGGTAGGGGTATGCAAAGGCAAGGATCCGAAAGAATTTGCTGAACTTTGGACTCTCAGGTAATCTGGAAAAAAAGAATTAAAAAAATATGTTTTAAAATAGTGCACTAAAATTACCCTGATTATGAGCTGCTCATTATCACCATGATAATGAGAATTTATTGAGAGACTGGTTAAGATCAAACATGATATTCAAAGGTCACTTTTTACACCCGATGTATTCATCACTATTAACAACTTTGATTTGTACATATTTGGAACGTTTAACAGTTATAAACCAGTAGAGGCTTTGATTTTCTCACAATAAACTGATTGAGTCAGGTTGTTACACAAGGTGTTTAACCGCTGCTTGTTTGTTTGACCTGCCCAGGTGAAACTGCACGGGCCAGTTTAGGGCGGGGACCTACGATCGCTGCCAACCAACACCTATTTCATTGAACAGAATCACGTGAACAGATCCAACAGATACCTGCTGGAATGCAGGCTGACAAACCAGCAGAAATTTCTAGAAGGCAGCCGCCTGTTTCTTTAGGAGGATTTAAAGGGTGTAAAAACATTTTCGAAACACAACAGGTGTAAAATATCTTTACCTTTTAACAACATCATGGTTATACTGCAGGAACGGAAGACCGAGCCTAAATGACAGGGAGAGATGAGGGTAATAATGTTGATATGAAGGTCATTAACATGTGCGTCTATTGATGATAGGATTTTCCATTGGCTCAAGAATAGAGCTGAAATTTTCTAGCTCCTGATAAAAAACAATATCAGTATCATGAGTAATAAATAATTTCTTTATTGCACCTGGAGTAACAGGCCAGGATGGTGCAGACGATGGTGTTGGCCATGGCGATGGGAATGTACCACTGGTGAAAGGTGCTGTTCAACCACTTGTCGGGGAAAATGTAAAAGGAATAAACAATTGCAGACCCTGCAACAGCACAGAATCAATGCTAAGAATCAGAAATAAAAGGTCTTAAAAATGAGAGACAATAGTGTAGCTATATAGCAACCTTTGAAAATCTGAAAATAGATTAAATGCAAACACTTCTGATATTCTGAAATGTTCCTGGTTAGTCCCTTACAATATAATGTTTAATCGAGAGGTTGTTTTAGTATTAATCACAATTAAATAAATAAATAAAAAGCAGTTTATTCATCGGGATCTCTAAGATAAACCGTTATCCTTTCATTTTTAGAAAAGAATAGAATAGAAAATCCCTTTATTGTCCCAAAAGGCACAATAGCTTATAGAAAAAATTAAACCATATAAAACCTTAGAAAAATTAAAAGAGTTTAAAGGAGTTAAAAGATAAAAAATAAAATACTATTTGTAGGCAATAGTAGGGAAGCACTTACCCAGGCTGTAAAGACTGAGCGCCCCATAATCAAAAAAGAAGCAGATGTGGCGTGCCCGCACTGACATGGTGCTAAAGGTGTGTGCACAGCTGGATGCCAAGGGATAGATGCAGCAGGAGAAGAGGAAGACCAGCAGAGGCCAGGTGAAGGTGTCCTGCCATCCCTGCTGCATCAGCACCACTGTCACCAGCTTCCACAGGAAGTACCTGCCACAAAAAAAACAAAAAAACAAAACATGACTTTTCTTCTTTTATGAGAGAAATCCCAACTGCAACGATAATCCACAAAAGACAAGTATTAAAAAAAATTGAGGTTTCTGCAACACTCTAAGAAAAATATTACATTAGATTCAAAGCTAGAAAAAATGCTTTTGCACAAGAGTGTATTCTGGAGATATGAATGAAAATACTGTGACATCAATACAGTGTTCTTTAAAATCCTCTTACCTCTGTTAAAATATTAAGAAATAGTTCATTTTCACTTTACACGCTGTTAGAAGACTAAAAGTAGTAACCTTTTTTAACATTACCGTTTACATGGGAAAATGTTGCGTGGAAACTGACATCTAAATTGAAAGAATAAAGCACAAGGAGAAACAATAGGATGCATAAGATTTACAGATTTTATTTATCAAAATAATAAAATGCTCAGCCATTTTAACAGAACTCAAAATCCTAAAATCCAAAATTTTATTCTTTCAGATCACATTATGCTACAATTAAAAGATAGACCAAACTAAACACCTGTAAAGCAGGGAGGTGGCAGTATTATAGTTTTCTTACTGAAGATATAGTGCAGTTACTTGCTTGTACTTTAAATTGTGGCTAATAGAAATCAATTGATTATTAACTAATCTTTCTGAGACACTGATCAACCTAAAAATAAAACAAAGACACTGAAATTCTGATTAAAATAAGAACAAACACCTAAAAGGAAATGGAATAATACCTCATAAAGAACATTATCAGGATATTGTGGGAGAAATATGCTTTCATAATAAGTTATCATGTTGAATAGTTCTGGATTAGTGACATGAATAACAGGAATTATATACAGAAGGAAAAATTAAAGGGGTGTATTAACATTTGGTGCTTGACATTTTGGTAGTTGTCTTCAAATGTGGGTGTGAGTATAGTATAAACAGACTTCTTCCTTCTAGTCCTCAGCATAGCAGCAGGTAATTACAAAGTAATGTGCTAAAATACATAATTTGTTTCATTCTGTTTGCTCAGGGATTGAAATACGACTTTTACACCAGATAAATTACAAACACTAAGGAGAGTTGGCTCCTTAGGAAGAAAACAGCCTTAAAAAATATTGCAATAAATTCACCTTTTAAACAGAAAACATTCAAATGATTAGTAGACGTTGTTCCCTCAGAGGAAAATATCTCTTTGTAAAGTAATGAATTATTATCCCTCAATTAAACTGTATTTTATCAGCCCCAGTCAGTTTTATAGCAGCAAAGAGCACCACACAAACAAGCAGGTCTGACCAGGAGGCAGGGGCGTGCTTTGTGTTCAGTGTTTCCCTGTCACCAAGTAGTTAACTAATTGTGGCAAAACGCATGGAAGCCTGAAGCGCAGACCTGCTCATTAGTGCCAAGCCTTTAGAACTACACCTCCCCCTTGACACAAACACCCATGTGTCTTCACAATATTCCAAACAGACCTACAACCTCGCACAAACATGTAGATAAACACACCCTCTCCGTTTCTTCTGGACGGTGCAGCCAAAACTACTTGCATCTCGGTTGGGAGGAAGTGAAGCGAGGCCACAGGGGGCACTAATCTCAGCAGTAGCTCTAAAATACTCACGTTAACGCAGAGGCAAGGTGAACGCAACTGCACATCTGGAAAATATCCAAGTATTATGTTGAACAAAGCAGGGGACAGAAACTAAAGAAAGGATTTTGGTGCCTTTTTAAGCATGTTTGAATAAATTACTGAAAAACTATGAAGCTCAGGAGATTATTTCTTCAGTGGATAAATTAACAGGATCATAAAGGGAAAAGTTGACATGCAATGACCGTCTTTAAAACAAGACAAAACATAAAGCATATAGCATTCATAGAAAGTTTCGATATATTGCTCTAACTAAAATATTTGAGAAGAGGGCCTTCTATAACTTAATACGACTGCTGTCCTTTTACTTGTGCGTCTTTTGGACAGTAGGTGTGTTTTATAAACATTTTATTGATATAAAACCTGAACTAGTCTTATATTGTCTTGTATTATTATTTAGATAGAGGACCTCTGTACTGCTTTCTTATATTCTGTAGCTTTTTTAAATCAAGTGAGTCTGGAAAAGGTTAGTTTAAGTTCACCTTAAAAATACTGATGATGTATTGTAATCATTATTTAAAACATCCATAAATGGAGGGTTATAATTTTTTTCTAGTAGATTTATAAAGTGTTTAGTATCAGCTTTTTATATGCAGTTGTGAAATTGAATGATGTACGATTTTTTATAGATAAGATTGTCAAGGCATCATCTTTTCAATGTTACTTGCCCACTTTCCTTTTATTTATTTTTTTCTTTATTTTTATATATTTCTTAAAATGAAGCCCACATCATAGCCAGTTATTATTTTCAATGCAGATTGAGGACTTTCATTTTATTATCATTTTACTCCTGATACATTAACCTGATTTGCTTTTCTTTGATTTCAAATTCAAATTAAAGCAAATTAAATCCCCATAATAAAGCTGCATAAGCTTAGAGGGATTCCCTTAATGTTAAACATTTGTGGCATGTCAGGGAAACACCGTAAAGCAAAGGGGAGACCCACATGGTTGCTGGGATAATGACCTCAAAACAAACCTGTCAGTATGTTCAGTCTGGCTCACGTTACACTGATGACAGACACATTGTTGTCCCAAGAAAACTATATGCATGGAGAAAACTAAAAGATACTTGTTGTGCAGCACGGAGATAAACAAGCACAAGAAAGTTTAAATAAAAATGAAATATAAACGAAGGTAGAAGGTGAGAACCTAAAGATTTTTCTTGTGAAAAAAGAAAAAGGTGATATTATGTAAGGCATGTCTTTGGCCTACAGGTTTTACAGGATGTGTGAGATTCCTCTCTCATGATGTAAACACATTTTGGGTGTTTCGCATTATATAATCTCTTCATCTTTTTGATACAGTTAAACAATATCTGGTCAAACTGTCATTTTTGGTACACAGTTTCACAGAATCACTGAAGCTTAATCCTGTAATTGAGTATGAATAACTGGTCCTGTGTGTGAATAAAGCTTTGTTAAAAATATTTTCCAGCTTACCAGGTGGGTAAAAAGTGGGTCCAGATGTTGAGCGTCTCATTGGTCATCTGGAAGAGGCTGAGGATGCAGTCAGTAGCTGAGCTCCGAGGGTGCCGATACCCAGAAATGATGCTGTCCTCATGGAAAACCTTCAAACAGAAAACAAACAACATTGTTTACAGCTTGGGTGGCTTAGAAAATTCGAGAAACCTATTTCATTCCTTCTGTTCAGCCCACAAATCCAACGAAAATATATTTTATCCTGCATATGAGACTGATAAACTCTAAACAGCATATAGTATATACTCTAATTAGTCCAAAAATCTGCCTGTCTCAACAAAATTACTCTGAAACTAGATATAAAGGTTTATCCTCTATAAATATGGCTTACACTCAACCCAAACATTTTCTTCTGGACACTTTGATTTTAATATGACCAGAAAATAAAGCACCATGCTAGAATAAATAGGAATAACAAGGAAAACAGATGTTATAGATAATTTAGATTCAACAACAATTCCCCGTTCTGATTCAGGTTACTGAAAAGAGATGAAATCAGTTAAACTTGAGAAGATGTGTAGTGAACTTACTTTGGGCACCTGATTGATGCTGAAGACTCGTGGAAATTTGATGAGGCTGAGCATGACTGCAGGGGAGCTGTAGCTGGTGTGTTAGAGGACAGGCGAACTGAGGCCGCAGGCCGGGTGTGCCGCAGACTTTATGAAGGTGTGTGTTGCCATGCCGTCTGCAAGGTTCCTCCCCTTTAGCTCCTTCCTCTCCAAACCCGGCAGGAATATCCAGTCCACCCGCCCCTCCTCCTTCTCTTCCTCTTGTGGTGGAGGTGGAGGGCGTACCTGCAACAGGTGAACACTCACAAACTATGGTTTACCAAAGAAGGAAAAATAATCATTTTATTTGTCTTAACTTTGAAGTAAAATGTTGTCAACCAACTATCTCTGGCTCATGTCTTATCACTACATTTTATAATCCTTATGATAAGACAAACAAACTGGTCTTCTAATTGCCAAACCCTGTTCCTTACATAACAGTGGAGCCAGAATTACAGGTTCACCAACTAATCTTCCTATTAATGACAAAAAGCTGTAAATCCAGAAAGTTCCTTCGCCTCTTTGCTTCTCAGAGAGCTGAATGTGAATACCAGCCAAGTTTAGGGTGTTTCAGATTAGACACGACTGGTGAATGAAGGGTGTGAATCAGTCTGTCAGTAAAGTAAACAGAGCTCCTGTGCTTTCCGGCCTAATGGTTCATTTGTCTGATCTCTGAGCAGCGGTGATGCCTACAGGGATGGGCCAGACCGATCAGAGCTCCCAGAGTCCGTTATCTTGTTTAAACTCTAAAACCATGAAGACAAACATGATTCCAATAGTAGGAAGTAAAACCTGTCGTGGTTTGCAGGAGAACTTGGACAACAATGTAAATTAAAGAAACAGTTCTTACATAATATGTTGCTGTTGACATCAGCTTACTTCAGCAATGATTGTTCTCCAGGCTTTAGTTTAAACCCAGGAGTTGGTTAATGCTTTATTTCAAACCATTAATAAAAAACTCAAAAGTATTCAAAAGCTGTTAAAACTTCCTCTAAAGTGTAAGAGTAAACTAATCTGTGAGCTTTATTTATTTTCTTAAAAGCATTGTTTACGATGCTTCCTGCTGAAAATGAAGAGATGCTGACTGTCTTGTGCAGCAACCCTGGGCTTCATGCAGCTCCCTCCCACAGGAGACGAGCAGCACCAGAAGTCTGGACAACAACATGGCATTAAAAGAAAGAGAAACAGCCTACAGTTGTGTGACTGAAAGTTGGTTTGGATCGACACAGACTCACTTTAAACTATTATGATTGGTGTTAATGAGTAACTCTTAAAAATGTACACCTCAAACAAACTCAAGCACTAAGAGTAAAAACCTGCAAGAAGGAGAGCAGGGGAAGGACAGAGCAATTAATCGTCAACTAGAGGAAAAGCTTCTGTCTGATCATTTATTTAACTAAACATTTTATATCAGAATCAGAGAACCGCCCTTCCATCCATCTTCTTTCGCTTGTCCTGTCGGGGTCTTGTTGGAGCTGGTGCCTATCTCCAGCAGTCTATGGTGAAAGGCACCTTGGAAAGGTAACGGGTATATTGCAGGGAAATACAGAGACTCAGAACCATGCACAAACCCCCAAGGACAACACATAGACCCCAATCAACCTAACAGCCACGTTTTTGGACTCTGCGAAGAAGCTGGAGTACCCAGAGAGAACCCAGGCATGCTTAAGGAGAACATGCAAACTCCATTCCTAGGCCAGGAATCAAACCTAGGATCATTAAACTGTGCAAAGAAGCACTCTTGTTATCTTTGGAAGACTTTCTAGAGATCTGAAGTCAATATTTGGACTCTGAATCCCTCTAAATCACTTTTTATATAGTTTCACTTCTGGTAATTAAAAATAATAGCAGACTGAAAACAAATAGCTGTACATTTTATGAACAACTATATTTTAAAAAGTCAAGTAATTGCTCATTTGCTGTCAGTCAGATGCTTAAGGGAAAATGTTTATGTTGTACAAACAATAAGAGAACCTTTGATGTACAAATTAAATATTCCATATAAAACTCCATGGTTCCAAATGTTTAATGGCAGTAAAGAGCTTTCCATATGATCCTTGCTATGTTTGTAGCCCCCGGTTATAAAGGGGCCTAAGTAGAATCTGATTGGGGGCCCTCCTTCTGTTAAAAACAGCATCAAAGGGTTTCAATATGGATTTGGTTGAATCTGAAAGAAGGAACCAAGTTTAACAAGCTGTACGTAATTAATATATATGTTTTTATTATTTGCTTTAATCAAACCAAGTTAAATAACAAAAAAAGAGAATAAATTCTTAGCATCATATTCTGACTCTTTTAACATAACAATCCAAAAGTGAAGATTATTGTTTCTCTCATAGAGAGATTTCATCTGAAGCTATTTAATAGCTTCAAATTCAATAATGCTAAGATAAAATTTATTAGTACTATTGTCATTGTCTGTGTTAACAATCAAGCATATCTTTTAATTTGGGCTTCTAAGCAGTGTATTAACCTGCATTATGCATTGGGATCTTATTCCAGCCTCTTTCCTATTTGTGTAATATAGACCACAGGTGAGACAGAGCAGGCATGCTCCTTGCAGCTTATCATTATCTCACAATACAAAATAATTTCTTAAACAATTCCTAAAGATCACCACCAAAATTTTATGTGTTTTAAGTTGGGCTAAAATATTTCAGAGTGATCTATTTAGCTTTCTTCCGTAATCTCATTTCAAATATAGATCAAACACAGAATACAGCAGCAGGAGCATAAGACTGCTGTCTAATTAGCTGACACTTGGAAATAGGAGTCACAACCAGATGAAATTAGATCTCTGATAAAATGTACCTTTCTCGTTACATTTTGTTATTCTGTAAAAGAGCACTGTGGTTTCTGCACAGCTGCTGGTGAAAGTAAACTTGCACTTAAGGTTATTGACCTGAACTTATCTACACAGATTGAACAATTATGTCCTGTTTGAATATTAACCCTCAAATATCAATTTTATTGTCTATTACTTTTATATAACTGGATTTTTGGAGATATAACTAGTCAAAGTACTAGGTGTGACATAATACCTACATCAAAGATAGATTAGTTTCACAAATATGAAAGAAAATTGACCTTTCAGGCTGAATTAATGTACCATGTCTCAGTAGAACTGTTTAACTTTTAGTTTAACCTTATCAAATTGTCGAACTGCATCCTTGAGCGGATGCAAACAGGCTGTATTCAGGATTCAGAGGGTGGTCATTGTTAGAGATGATGCTATTAAATGATCTCATCCAACTATTTATGATTTTTTTCCAATGATCGGTCTTCAGTATTTTCATGTAATGAAGCAATTCAGATTTTTCAGCAATAGGCCAGGCTTTTATACTGTTTGGTATTTAAGTAATGCAAAACACTCATCACTGAGGCATTAAGAATGTGAAGGAATTTCATTACAATGTTTCGTGAAAATATTTATCATCAGATAAGATAGAAAAAGTATGCTGCAAGATGATACAACTAATTTGTTATCAAGAGGCAATGTGGTGAAATGCTGTGAAGTTTGTGCATTTAAATAGATTTTTAATTTTTTTTTGTTAGCCTGATTCAGAGAGCTTAGAGGAGGAATAGACATCAGGAGTTTAACCCAGCACAGAAATAGTACAACTTCTACAGTTTCCCTTTTCTACTTTTGGGCCTGATGGATCTTTGCTGTGCATCGCACACCATTAGGTGCACAAATCCTTGACACAATGTAGGATAACCTGTTTATTTCTCGGTCATTCCTGGAGTTGCTAAAAGCACGTGTTTTTTTTGCTTTTATGGGTTTTTAAGGAGTAGACTTCATTTTCTTTTGCATTGCTTCCTGCAGCCAAACAACATCAGCAGAAACATGCCAGCTTTTTTTGTTTATCTTCTACCGTTTTCTTTATCTTCCAAACTTGCTTGGTCACAAACAACATTGCTTATGATGGCTTAATTATTAGTGCGTGATACTAATGAGTTTGTCACTGAAAAAAATTCCTTATTCCCCACACACACCGTCCTGTATATGGGGGAGATCAGTGTTGGATGATCGATTATTTGTCGTCAAACTCATCATATCGGAGTCACAGGGCAATGTGAAATCATTTTTTACCTAAAACCTTTTCTTCCTCAGTTTTAAGCAAAAATTTGGGTGCTTAAATTCAATAATTTTTAGAATCTACTTTTATTTAGGTTTAATAAAAGCCATTTTATTTCCACATTTTACCTTTGGAAATGGTCCCTGCTGAAATATAATTACAAATATTTAATGGATTTGCACCATAATGGCAGAGCCTAGAGCAAAGTATTCTCTAACAGGGTTTAAAAAAAAAACAACAGAAAACTATCATTGAAATGAAGCCAAGAGGAAAGCATTTTTGAAATTGTTAAAGTGTTAAAGTCAAAGTGATGAAGACTCATTCATAGCTAGCTGCATAGTTTCAGGAGTTGGTATGTACTTCCTAAGTTAGGAAATCACTTTACTAGTTTAGTTTCAGTTTCATTTCAGTTGGCATGACTGAAAGCACTCCTACTGTTTATGCCAAATCTATCCCTTTCATATAAAACATAAAGGGATAACAAAGAAGGTAAAAATCTGCCTTATGTTTTTAATTATGTAAGTAATTTTCTAAAAATTGTATATTTTATCCACAAAAGGGCTATCGCTCTAAATAATATAATAATCCTATATCTATAAATTGTTTTTGTTTTTTCTTTATTCAGAGTTTATCTGGATAAAAGCCTAAATAATTTGATATAATCTGCAACCTCCCCCCACTACTTTTTTAGTATCCTTTATGTATCTGATACCAGTGTTATTCTGATACCAGTGTTATATACCAGTGATTCCTCTCTAATAGAAATAAACAGAAAGTAGATTTTAAGCCTTTCATAGCTGATGTTGAACTTTAAATGTTAAAACTTAAAAATTTTAAATTAAAAGACCTATTGAGAACAGGAAAAAATAAACTTTCAGACCAAATTAATGTGTAAATCCGTTGTTTGATGTGTCAAAAAATGTTTTCAATATGCCAAAGCTGAGTTACAGTTTGACCAACAACCAGATTAATTGAAGAAGCTAGAAATATTAAACTAATGGAATCTCGGTGTAGTATCCCATTTCACCACCAGATGTCAGTGTTTTCTAATGGATGCTTCCCATTGAGCAGCTGCTTGTAGAATTATGCAAAACTAACTATCCAGTTTAACATCATTTCTGACTAAAATACTTTCATCTCTCCTAACTTGGTGGT